CAGAGAGAGTCAGTAGTATCCCAGATTATTCCCGTGAACATTTGGGAGCAGATTTTCGACAACGATGTGTTCTGGGTTCGAGTTCAAGGAGTATCCAATTTGCCACTATCAATTTCAGTGGCTATCAAGAAACTTGACGGAGATACGCCAAGCCTTTCAAATATTCCAGAGAGAGTCAGTCAACTGAATGAAAATCTAATTGAACTTTTGCCTTCTTCACCTCTATCCAAAAAAGAAGTAGTAGTAAAACAAATGTTTACTAAGAGATCTGAGTTTTGCTCTCATCCAGTTCATCTGGCAGCAAACCTTTTGGATCCTCAACACAGAGGACAACACTTATCAGAAGATGAATTATCTACTGCTTTCAGTACAATTATGGAAGTAGCTCAGAATGTCCCCAACATCAGTGAAATAGCTGTGATGACAGACATTGCCAAGTACTGTTTAAAAGAAAAACTTTGGAGCAAAAACATCATTTGGTGGGCAGCAGAAACTGTCTCCTCTCACATGGTGGAAGGGATATTGTTGTCCAGGATTGCTCTAAGGATCCTAAGCATTCCACCAACAGCAGCCTCTTGTGAACGGAACTGGAGGGCTTTCAGGTCAATCAAGACAAAAAGGAAGAATAGACTAACAAATGAATGCACCACTTAGCTTGTTTCTATTTCTCAAAATCTCTTGCTTCTGGAGAATCAGAAGCACAATTAGTGAAGAAGATGCAGTATGATGATAAGTTGCCCTTGCCCATAGACTCATTGGTAAAACCATCCTTCAGCAAAAGAGAATGTGGTTTAAGTAGTTCTGAATCAGATTTGCCTCAATCTGATTTTGAAATGGAACTAAGAAGTAGTGCAAGTGATTCTACAGTTAGTGACAGTGAAACTGGAGGTGCTGCGATGACCTCAATGGAAAAGAGTTAAACTCTGTTGAAGTAGATGAGTGGACAACCATGGCATATCATGCACAGTTCTTTGGGTGTGCTAAAATTAGTGTGTAAACAGTTTTCAGTGCCTTCGTGTGGGTTTTTTTTTTCCTTAAATTTAAGCAAACAATGTAAGAGAAGTACATGCTGTTGTGTATTGTCTTTACATTGTTACAAGTATTCCAATAAAAAAAATTTCCACATAAAGCTTTGAATTTGTGTGAATATAATATTTTCCACATTAAGTGTGCTGCATTTAATTTTTTTTCCTAATTAAATATTTCAGTTCAAATACTTGTGGCTATTGGGACATAAAATTAACATGGGCATACTTTTTTAGTTTTGTTTACTAAGTATAATTCAAATAAACATGCTAAATCAGGTCACGCTCTATTTAGGGCATTGGAAAATTTTCCCATTCAAAATTTTATGGAAAACCCACATCTCTGCAGAAAACACTTTGTATACCATTTGGATATTTTCTTATCTCTCTGTCTGAAAAATTATTGTATTTACTCAAATATAAGATGAAGTACCTCCCCCCCCAGTCATCATGCAGGAAAAAAGTCTCTAGTCTTATATTTGCATATAAGCGGATGGGGGAGCAAGCAGCTGCTGCAGTTCTGACTTTGGCCCTGAGCCTGTGTTGAGGCCAGAATTAGACCCACAGCAGCTTCCTGCTAGTGATGTACCTAGACTCCTGGCAGCCCCGGGCAAACTTTTAGTATTGCCCCCCCTTTGCCAGAGATAATGATGATAATAATAATTGGACAACGGGGAAAAAATTACCATTTGCAGGCCCCCTTTCTGTCTGGGCCCCCGGTGGCCACCTGGTTCGCCCATGCCTGTGTCCGGTCCTGCTTCCTGCACTTCCCTCTACTTCCGCTCTGCATCTTCTGCCCCTCCATCCTCCTCTTCCCTCCCCTTCAGTGTCAGGCACAACTCGGCTCCAGCCCAGGCTGGGGTCTCTCCCTGGCAGGGAGCATATGGAAACTCTTTCCTTTGCCTGGCCATCACCATCCCCAACACTGCTGCATGGCCAGGCAAGGGCTGAACTTCCACGTTTTGTTCTCTGGAACTGAGTAGCCAGAGCAGCATATGACAGTAAGATGCAGGAGTGTGAAGAGGCAGGGAAAGCGGGGAACAGGGGAGAAGAGGCAGAGACTGGTGGAGTGGGAGAAGGGGCAGGACTGGTGGAGAGCTGGGAGTGGAGGGGTGTAAATGTTCGGGAGGGCTGCAGGGGGAAGAAAGCAAGGGGCCACCTGACCCTCCCCACCCCCAGCCACTACTTTCTCCACTGTAGTAATGTGGGGGTGGGGGGTGGCATTCAAGACAGCCCTCCAGTATTTAGGTTTTGTACCTGGAAAATTACAACAAATTTATACATTTTTCATATATAGAATCTAATATTGTGGGGGTCATCTTATTTTTGGGATCATCTTATATTTGAGTAAATATGGTACATTTATTTATTGCTTATGCAATCTCTCCAAGTGCTTATACAAATACAGGACAGCCGCATGGATCATATATTCATTAGAGGTGCGCTGATACATCGGTCTGATATCAGATCAGTACCGATATAAAGAAAATTGCCTGTATCGGATATCGGCCCAATGTGGCTGACAATTTGGCCGATAAATGCTTGTGTGTGCGTGCAGCCTCAGCACAGTACTCAGGCAGTGAGGAGCAGAGTCCGGCAGCGTGGAGAGCTGCGTGCAGCCGGTAAGTCCGTTGTGGTGGAAGGGGAGCAGGGAGAGAAGGGGCGTGGTGGGGAGGGCAATCAACGCCCCTTGGCGAGGGAGGGAGCAGGGTCAGGCTCTGCCCAGCTGGGCCAGGGTGTGGGATGGAGCCACAGCTTGTTGTGCAGGGGGGGGTGTCTCCTGCCACCATGCACCCCGGGAAGCCGTGGTGGGGGTGTGTGTACCCCTCCTGGACTGGGCAGGCTGAAGCTGTAGGCTGGGGCCGGGGCTGGGCTTAGGGCGGGGGCTGCAGACACCCCAGATTTCTCTGTAGCCCTGCCCCCAGCACCAATGCTGCTGCCCACCCAGTGCAGCCCTGGCTCTTCTCAGTGCGTGGGTGGTGCCAGGGCTGTGCTGGGCAGGCAATAGCATCAGCACTGGGAGCGGGGCTACAGCGAAATTTGGGGTGACTGTAACCCCCTCCATAGCCCCCGCCTTGAGCCCAGCCCCTACCGAGAAGAGCCTAGTGCGGACCCGGCTCCAGCCCACAGCTGCATCCTGCCCTGCACAGATCTGTGCCGCCCCATGTGCCCTCCAGGGTGCAAGCAGTGACATGAGCCGCGGCTCTGTCCCATGCCCTGCCCCACTCCAGCTGGCCAGTGGCTGCCCCTGCCCCCTCCCTCACTGGAGGGAGCTTTGAACTGCCCCCCTACACCACTTCCCCCCCCCTCCCCTTCCACCGCAATGGACTTACCAGCTGGATGCAACTATATCAGAATTCGGATCGGTATTGGCTGATATGCCTCCTTGAAAGTCCACTATCAGTATTGGGCCCCAAAATCTCAATCGGTGCACCCCTAATATTCATATTTTGTATGCTTGCTCATATAAGCCTATATTGCTGTGGTGTCTATTTGTTATATACAGTCAAAAGCTTCCTTTGCACAAATGCTTGTTACAATGACTACAGATTACTCTAGCTGCAATGGTACATCATGCTTTTCTGCACGAAGGTCCTGGAAATTGAATCCAGTAGAGGTAATTCGGGGAAGAAGGGTGTATGCTACTTTCCATTTTTGCTGTTCCCACAATAAAATTGTGTAAAGGTCTATCCCCTACTGTTCTGGTAGCTCAGATACTGTTTTTCACTGTGATAGAGATTTTTGGCACCAGACGTGTTCTGGGAATAGTGCTGCAGTCTCTTGTATGCAGCAGAATCTCCAAGTTTCTCTCCCCTGTTCTGATCTAGTCCCAAATCTAAGTTTTTGCTCTATTTGTCTTGTAATGCTGACGCAGCTGAGAGAGGGAAAGGGACACTGTACTTGCGTTCACAGATGACAAACTAATACTTGAAGAATGTTAAGTTTTCTTATCAGAATTATAAACCTTTAATTTGTGATAGCCTGTAAGGAAAACTGTGGGAGTTTAGAATGGAATGTGAGGCTGTATTTCCAATCTAACTTCTGTTAGTTTTGGTCATAACCTCGGGTGTTTATACATTTGCTCCAGGAGTGTGGGGGAGGGGCACTTTAATTAGAGTGGCTCCAAGAACCATTGTAATTAACGCTCCTGGAGCATCGCGTGTTCCAGCATCCCCGTGTTGAAAAATGGTGGCAGGGGCACTTTAACTAAAGCTTGTTTTTCAGCACAGGGATGCTGATGCACGTAATGCTGGAATCTGCTGGAGTGAGGTAATTACCATGCCCCCCCCCGATACAAATGGTCCATTCATTTACTCTCTGTTCATTGCCATAGCATGGTCAAAGGTCCTTCTGGGTTCCCAATCTGGATGACCATTACCTTTTTACAGCTGGGTTGGGTAGTCCTTTGTCACAAATCCAGAGTGAGTTCCAGCTCGCATCTCAGACACCATAGCAAGATACCTTAACCACTGTGCCCTAATTCACTCCATATATATATTAACATTACTGTAATTGTTGTGTATGAATTTCATAGAGGTTTTGTAATTATAATACTTTTTAATAAAAAAAAAAAGGGGGGCGGCCAACATTTCAAAATCTGTTATTTCCTTTATAGGCCACTATTTTGAGTAAATAAGATTGTTCCTCCAATAATACTAGACCTTGTTAAAAATATAAATATATACCCAAATTATAGATTGTGCTTTTCTTAGCTGATCAGTAATACCAGTTCCTGTAGCTGTCTTACTCCATGTTGAGTAGCTCAAATTGTTTTCTTTCTTTGGGTTCTTTATGGAACATTCCTTTTCTTTTTCTTTTTATGCCTGGTTTTGTACAGTATATAGCTAGCGGTTTGGGTTCATTCTTAGCTATAATGTGCCAAAGTTAATTTTGTTTATGGGATTCTTAATACCTTCATCGGGAAAAACCTTAAGTATATTTTACAGTATTTATACAGTTGTTGTTTTTTTCCAGACCAACATATGATGACATGCCACCTCCTGTCACTCCATTGGCACCCAGAGATGTTTGCCTGCTTCCAGAAGGGGTGGAGGAAAAGATGGTTAGAAACAGAGAGGAGATGTCTAGCAAAGGTGGTGAATCCATTGCTGAGAAATGTTCCCCTACTCATTGTCAAATACTTGAGGGGGTGAAGGAGATTCCTGTGCTACTGGCATTCACCCAAAAACCAGAGGGGGGGAAGAACTGTATGTTAGGAATATCCCAGCAACCTGTAGACGTTTGTAACAGTGAGAAAAGACATAACCTGACAAATGGGGCTCAGATTACAAACAGTAGCCACGAAGGCCAGTGTACAACTGTGAGCCCACTACCTCACCATTTGCCTGTTAGCTCTTTATCTCACAGTCCTCCTGTTACACTTACATTTGCAAAAAATATTAGGTATTCAGCAACATTAAATTTGATTCCAAGTAGCATATGTGATCAAACAAAGAAGGATGTATGCAGTAAGGTTGGATTATTGAATAGACATCCTAGACCTGTTCTGGCATCAGTCCACTCAAAAACGCCTTCAGTTTCGCATCAAAGTCCTACCTATAGCCAAGGCAACTCTTTATGTATTACCTCAGGTCAATCTTTTTTTAAACAAGATGGTTTACAATCTCAGGATGAAACTTTGTCTGACTTCCATCTCAGGGATATGGTGGAGACCAGCAGGTCGCTAAATTCTGGAATATCATTGCAATTAGAAAAATGCAAAGACATCCAGTTTAGCAGAGGGTATGAAACATCAGTAGATGAAATAATTGAAGAAGTTATTCTGAAGTACTGCCATGGGTCTCTTCCGAGAGAGTTGCCTTGCAAAGGTGAAGAGAGCAATTCCTTTTTAAATATTTCATCACTTCTAAGCCACAGTCAGCCAGAGGGCTCTGAAATGAGTTTTGACTGTGATGCACCTGTTCAGTCAGGAACAAAACTTCCCAAAGCAGCTATAAAAGACATTGAATTTCTAAAAGAGGTCCAAATAAATCTGGAAGATAAGAACTATGGAACCCAGCTTAGCTGTGTTTTAAAAGATGATTCCGTGGAGCAAGTAGAAGCAGCAAAACACGATATAATAACTTGTAATGAGGAAACAGTTCTTCCTGATCTGCCTTATGTGCCTCCTTCTTTTGTTGGAAAGACATGGTCCCAGATAATGTATGAGGATGATAGAAAAATTGAAGCACTTGTGCGTGATTTCAAAGAAGGTCGCTTCCGCTGTTACTTTGACAGTGAGTCCTCAACCAACTGTCCAGGGAAGAGGATGAAGAAGAAAAAGCAGAAAGATGAAAGGAAGAGTGACGTTGTAGGTAACAAAACAGAAGCAGAGTCTGTTAAAGCACTGCCAGAATTTAATGATGCTTTAAGCACTGGCTCGACTCCTGATAATCCTTCCTTAGCATTGGGAATGCTATGCAACACACAAATACCTAAAATGCCTCGGAGAAGAACCTGGCGCCTTGCTTCAAGGTGCCAAGTGGTCAAAGTCAGCCATGCGACTCAAACCAGTTTAGTGAACTATCCAATAGTAAAAAGAAAATTTGTTAGAAAGGAATATGATCCACCAAGTCGGAAAACAAATGTTGTTTGGCCAGAGAATGAAAGAACTCCAAACATGAAAACCAGACTATGTGCCCTCAAACTTCCCGAATCCTATAGCAAAATCATGAGCCCTCTGCAGCCTAAGACAGTGGTTTATGTACTTTCTTGTCCAGAAATTAAACAGTTTAAAGGCAAACCTATACATATCCCTAAAATGAGAAAACATAACTCCACAGATGGTAAGGACTCTGTCAGGTACAAATACAAACAGTGTTCTCTTAAATATTATGATCCATTGACCAACCGAATTTTAAAAATGCCACCTAAGAGCACAGCTAGAGAAGGGGCTAAAAAGCCACCCCATGTTAGACAGCTATTCAGAAGTCTCAGCCTTGATGCAAACCTGAAGAAGCTAGCTGATACACAGAAAGAATGTACACCATCTAACTCCTTCAACTGTCCAGAATTTTGTACTTCATCTTCAGTATCTTTTTTGCCTGATCCAGTAAAAGGGGGTGATATGAACTCAAATCAGAGGACAGATGGGTCTTCTGTTTCCACTGAAAGATCTGATTATGTAGTGTCTGGTCACTCTGAGAAGTCCTATAAACACACTATCATTTCTCCTCTGAGCTCCTGCCAGTCTCAGATGGAAGGAGATATTAGATTAACTCCATTTAGTAGCAGGGTTGCCAAAACACCTCTGATGGCAGTCAGGAGCAAGCAGTTGGAGAAGGAGAATCCAAAGCCTATGTGGAAGAGAAAAGAAGGCTTTCGTAAAGAACCCGGTTTTTCCAAGAAGCCTGCCGGACCCATGCCTGTCAGGCATGTACTTGGGAGGAAAGGAGGTAGAGTAACCCTAGCCAAACAAACCACCAGAACTAAAAAACAACAAAAAGAGGGGATAAGAAAGAAGCTCTCATCTTGTGCCCAAAGATCTTCTGTCTTTTCCATCCATCAGCACCAGTTGAGGAAAACAGCAGTCGGAAAGCACCTCAAAAAGGAAAATTCTGATGCTAAAAAGCTGCAGGTGACAAGAAAACCGAAGAGGACATTTCTGAACTCTACAGTAATTTCAGGGATTCCTGAAAAAAGGCAAAAAGTCACAGCAGGGTCTTTCCCAAAGAAGCCAGACATAGGTTCTTCCAGAATAAAAAGGTGGGAAATAAATGGAGATAAAGGTCGACCAAGCACTGTGAACCGACCCTCCAGAAGAACTGCTAGTTTACCTTTATTGGGAAGCTGTCTTGTTTTACCAGGAAAGAATTAACCAGCAAAACATCCCTTATGTAAACAACACAGGAGACCTGACTGAGGAAAAAACTGAGTGCACAGAAGTCGGCTATATCCAGTAGACATGCTAGAGCAGCAGATAGAATTATTCCAAGGTTAAATAATAAGCTACTGCAACTGCAGACTGTTTTGTTGGAATACTGGCACACCACATATTGCACTGTTCTACTCTGTAAAGCTACAGAAATTGTATGTTTGTTTGATTTAAGCACTTAGGGCCCTATTTACAAGACTTCAGTGTATCTTTTACCAACTTATACAGCATAGAAACTGACCTTGAATTGTATCATATTGTATTCTATCATACTAATACTAGTGCGTTATGGTGTGCTAGAATACAGTAAGAGTATGTATAGAATCAATACAATTTATTGTGCCTACTCATCTTTCTACATAATTGTAAAGTGCAAAAAACAATAATCAACAATTATGTTAGAAATTAAATGGAATCATACTAATTAATCTGAAGCGATGCATGCATTTTGTTTATATGTGTATATGTGCACCTGGTTAAAACGATATATTTTCAACTCTAATTCATAGTTGGTGTAAATTAATACAGTATGATACAATACAGATCAGTACACTAGTGTCTTCAACACACGTATAGTTATTGTATGAATTTAAATGACGGGGGGGGGGTTCCCCAAAAACCATGTACAACCTGGCTTTTTTGGGACAATACAGAAGCAATGTTGGCTTCTACTTTAGCAATAATGGACACTGCTGGTAAGGAAATAAGTCTTTCCATTGTCCAGCTCAAGGAATGTTGATGGGTGAAACAGTTCAAAAGCCAAAAGATTATATATGGTATTAAATCTGAAAAATTTACCCTGATGATTAATTTCATAACTCACCTTTGAATAAGTTTAAAAAAATCATATGAATGTGAATGAATAAGCTGGGGGTTATTTTAGACATTTTAGCATTAATTGTGAGTTCCTTTATTTTTCATGGCTTTAAATCTGACCTGCTGTTATTTAAATTTAAATACATTTATAATTGAGCTTTTTCTTCTTTTGTAGAACTCAATCAAATATTTAAAAAACAAAAACAACAAATCTATTTAAGACTATGGGAGTTTAGGCAGCTAAGGTCTGTCCTGTAAATAGTTAACTAAGTTTTTAAAAATCATTTTCCTTACACATTCACGGTAGGTCATTGACAGAGTCTAACACCTCTGGATAGCTATAGCTCATAAAGAACCATAAATTTCCTACTAGAACAAAAATTATAACAACCTGTTTTAACAAGGCTTGTTTTGATGACAAGCCTCAAACCTGCAAACACCTTTACACTTTGAATTCACACTGCTTGCCTATTAAACTGCTATGCCAATTTAAGCATATACTTAAGTATCCCCAAGATGAGGGCCTTAATTTTGAAGATCTGCAACTCTGATTGTACAGAACTAATATTTAAAGATGTGTTTGAATATTACACATGTGATAGATACATTTTAAAATCCATATGAAAATCAAGCAAAGGAATCATAGCAACTATGAAAAGAAAAGACCAATCTGGTTTCACTAGTCATTCCCCTGCCAGTGCAGAATATAACTGTGTCCTCAAAAAGAAAAAAGTTTAACTGGTTTATATGCATTTTTTCCAAAGTGCCCAGATTGCTAGCCTAAATAAGTACTTAAAGAACTTCCAAATGTAGTTTTAAAAATGCCATTCTGAGTTTTTTATTAACTGTTAAAGGCAACATCCTATACCAGAGATTTTTTTTAAAAAAATGGTATTGTTGAGATCTTCCTTTTTATTGCCTGGGCATTAATTCCCATGCTAAAGAGGAATGCATGTACTTAAACCAACCAGGGATTCAGCTCCTTTATACCTCATGGTACAACACTTTTTTCTTTTTAAACTTCAGAAAAAAAAGAAATACAAGTTGTTTTCTAGGAAAACAGCTATGAAGGGTAACTTATAACAACATTATAAATCACTGGAAAACAAGGGGTTTTATAAATATGAACTCCTCTAACCCCATTAACTTCTTGTGCCTCTCTAATTTTATATTTTGCCTAGTAATGATTTTTTCAAGTGAAGTTTTAAAGGAAAAAGTTTTTATAGCAAGACTTATGTTAAAAGTTTTAAAGAAAGGGGTTTTTTAAAAGTTAAAATTATGTTTTAAAGCAAAGTTAACTTAAGTTAGCACTACAGATAAATCTCAAGCTAACATATTTTTATGGTGTAAAAAGGTCTTTCTTACCTAACCTGTTCTGACTCAGTTTCCACAGTTGGGCAAATGAAGGGCACGTACAGTTCTGTGTGGAATAAACCTTGATGCATGTTCTATTTGGGAACATTTACACATGTTTTTTACAGTCGGTAAATACTGCTCTCTAGTCTCATCTGTTGTAATCTTGTGCTTCTCCCATGTATGCACCTTTTTCTTGGAATCTTGAGTAATATACATACGATGATGACTTTATAATGTCAAAACTTTTGCATTTTTTTTTGCATGGAAACTCATGTATGTAAATAGGGCCTTCTGTCAGGGAGATGGAAAAGAATAAAATGTTGAGTATATTTAAGAGTTTAAATAATTATATATTTTGTTTTAAAATCAGTATAGATTTAACACTATTTTTAAAGAGAACTTGGAGTATGAATTGTAGACAACTTTTGCTGTTGACAGTGTCAAAACAACATTTACTGTATGTTAAAACTCCATTATATGCCACACTCCAGACTGTTAATGACCTTTCTGTGCATGTTCAGTTGATATGAAAAATGGAAGAGTGACAAGAGATTTAATGGTTTGGCTAATGTCAAAGGAAGATGCATACAGGGAACCAACTGTCTATGTATATGGTATGGAGAATAATTTGTTTCCAAAGGGAGGGGGTGGGATTGAGATTTTCCAGGTGATTTAGGAGAATTAGACGCATCTCACATTAAATGAAGAGGTCAGATTCTACTACCATCTTTTGTATTATTCAGATCTTTTCTCGTGAGTAATCTCACTGAAAAAAACCATGAGTAAGGATGACAGCATTACATACAAGGGGGAAAAGTATTTACTATTTATATTACTGTAGCACCTAAGACCTTCTAGTAAGGTCATGGGTCTCATTATTATTGGGATAGGTATTAAAACACAAGATAAAAATAAATGGTTCCTGTCCAAAATTGCTAACAAGTTAATTTAAACTTAGCTATTTCACCCTCCATTTTCTTTTTCTTCTTTTCTTCTCTAGTTCTTTTTGACCAATTTGTATATGATTTTTTTCTCATAATCACATCAGCACATTCCTTTTCAAGGCTTCTATTCAACAGAGCATATACTCATATTTATAATAGTTGATGGCAGTACTCAAATTTATATATTTAAGTACCTTGCTAAATTGGTGTCCTGTTTGGTATTGCTCCTGTTTCATGTTTTTACATTATTTTTAAATTTTCCCATTTGATGGGTTGTGATTCTACCCTGGCTCTTTCATTAGTTAGCATTGTATTATTAAATATCCACTTTGTTTTCCATGTTGATTGTTGGCTTTGTGCAGTGCTACAGGTAGATAAGTTTTTCATTCAGTTAACACTGTTCTTAAAACTCTTATTTTTCGGATTCATGTTTGCCCCATTTTTTGTTGAGGCATAATTGTGGTAACTCCTTTTTGCATCTTCTGCCATGATAAACTAAATTACAGGATGTGATAATCTTTTGTTTGAAAACAAATCACATGACTCCTCAGCATGGGACCATCTACAATAAGAATTAGTCCTGAAGTAGAAGGAAGTTGTAAGTTGAATGATTCTAGATAATGTTGGAATAAATTGGGAATGTAGAGTACCTAATTTTGTATTGCAAGTGAAAAGTATTTTGCATTAAGGGTTGATTTGATCTAAAATTCTGTAATTTAGAACATCTTTTTCTAGGAATATTCTAATGGCATAGGTCTGAACATGCTCAGAAGCAAGGGTTTTGCTCCTTGTTTGTAAAATATTACAAGTGTGAATTAATTCATTCCTCCAGTCACAAAAAAAAAAAATCACGGATCTTGTTTTAATAAAAGACTGAATTTTGCATTTTGGTAGTTTCTGTATTCCTGAAATGTGATTTAATGCATCATCAGCTGGGACCATTTATTCTGAAGAGCTCAGCATTTATGCTTTTCACAGAATAGATTACATAGAAGGCAGCTTGTCTCAAACAGCCTTCCTGTCCTATTCATAATTGGTGTGGACATTCACAGTCACAATAGGTGAAATCCTAGCTCCATTGAAGTTCATGAGAGTATTCTCATTGGCCCAGATGGAAGCAGGATTTTGCCTTGTGCCCTATGGCAACTGCAGCTTACACTGAAAGACACCTTTTGGTAAAGATTCTAAAAGTAAAGTATTTGAAGTAATTTGTGTTCTCTAATTACATCTTAGCATCAGAAAATCAGGAGTATCAGCACAAGAGAACAATCCAGCTCTGTAGCCATGAGCTAATTCATTATCATTACTATATTCATTGTTTAAGATTGAATCCTGTCTGATTGAGGAGACATTCTAATGCAAACAGATCATCCACCCTCTAATCACCTCTATTTTCTAGTAAATAGCAGTATCTCTTATCTCTGAACTGATTAAATCTCCTTATTCTTGCTGCATCCAAGCCACTGTAAAATGGAATGACCTCTAGCTGGATCTCTTACCTGTAAAGCATTCAAGATGTTAAATGTCCAAATGCCCTTTTAAAAGGTAGGGATGTTTATGCAGTCTTTATGTATGTCTAAAGAGAAAGCTGTTAAAAGTGCTGACTATCTCGTACTATATGCCTATGCAGCATGTAGCCGCCGGGCCTCATACATCTTGCCTTGGGCTTCCTTGCTCATACTGCTCACCGGTACTTGGCTTGCCGTCGCAGGTGGCCTTCTGGGAGGTCTTTCCACGCGCTGCAGTCTGCCCTTTCTCGCCTGCCACAACTTGGATCTTTCAGTGGGTGGGGCTTCGTGTAGTGCGGTTACCCTTGTCAGACACCTACGTCGTAGATGTCTTCTGCGAGGCTCCTCCTCCCCTGCACCTCGCCCTTACCCAGCCCGGCGGATCTTGGCTGTTTCTGTGGGTGCTCGAATAATTCCCCAG